AGTGTGTCATAGAACCGATTTATTACGCCGTTACACGTTCTACGATCGCGTTTCAACTTTATCACGGATTTTCGGACTATCGCTGACACCTTAACACGCTGACCATCGCGAATACGTGATAAATGATATTAAATGAAATTCACGAAAAATATTAGATTCATAACGCTAAAACCACCGAGCGGTTAAATTGCCTTTTTGAAATTTCTCTATAGAAACTTCAAGATTGCAACTGTTTAAACTTTAGTTGATTTATAATTCAGTTTGCGTACCGATGAATCAATTTCTTGAATAATTTCCCAGAGAAACATCTGTTGTCCTTTTAATAATTGCGAAATGAAGAAATCTGGTAGTTTTAGTATTAAATACTAGTGTAGAATGCATTGCGAATTTTCCTTGAAATTCCAGTAATTCTTTCTTCTATTTATTTCAGATCATCGATGTAGCTTGACGAAACTGAAGTTATCAAATGCATCGTATCATGAGAAACACATTAAAAACAAAGCTTCCAATGTTTTAAGTAAAAACGATAACGGCACAATAATCAGAAATAACGAACATATTTGAATTTTAAATTGAGAACATTTGAATTAATCAGAATCCCGACGATCGGCGCGTTAAGGCAATTATCGCGGACAATTGCTAAAGCAGGAAGGAGGAAAGGGGATCCGCATCAGTCGTGGAATGTGTTTACGAGCGAAGTGCTAGCGGTTAATTTATTTTTAGCAATTTCTTACCAGGTATTAGGAATTCATTATCCGTGGCTTTCCGTTGTGAATGATCGTCTGTAATTTTGATTTTTATATCTATTTGATGCATCCGCGACGACTTGCCTCGTCGATCAGCTGCGACACGATTCTCGTCTCCTCTTAATGACGTGTAACAGAGGATTCCTCGTGCCTAATCTCTTTTTCTCATTTTCTATCGATCCACTAGCGCGATGATCAATGATATACTTGGCGTTCAATACGATTGATTGGCGATCAAGTTGTTCAGAATGACGGATATCGCTGGCAGAATTGGGCAGAGTGTGATTTAATCAGTAGCGTCTTATTAAGAACGATTAACGTTTCGATGTACCGTTCGAGGATGCGAGTAACTGCATTCCGATCGGCCGACTTAGACCCGGCTACGGCGATCGTTTGAACGATCGGGGGATCGCGAATGTCTTATTCAATTAGCGGGGAACAATTTCCGCCCAACTCTGGCCAATCGTGAAATCAATGAACCCGATCGATCATTTCGAGGATGAATTGAATTGACTGTACAGCGGTTCGAATCGCAAAAACAAGAGAACTTCAGGCGGGACAGTTTATTCTTAGTCCACGACGGGAACATATCTCTTTTTCTCCAGAACAGAAAAATATTATGCTCTATGTATATAGTTGAACACAAAGAACATCTCTCTCTCTCTCTCTCTCGCTCCTTTCCTCGCGTGTCTCTGTGTATGCGTGTATTTGTGTGTTGGTGTACCATGTACGTGAATGTGTGTACTATGTGTGCATCTCATTTTTACACGAGTCTCAAACGAACTACTATTCTCGCACAACGGACATCCACGCGTCGAGGATCTCGATCTATCTCGTACACGCAATAAAAACCCAATTGATCGGCTTCGTTTCGCGTTTAAAACGGTTCGTATAATACACGCTAAACCTGTGATTCTCCCTTAACACGATGCAACACGTCAAGTGATCGAAACAAATGTTATTCGTTTTTTCTTCGTTTTCCTTTTTCTCTTTATTTATTTTTT